GATCGTGGATGCTATGACAGCTCGTGAGTCGCCGATTGTGCGAGTCACACTCGAAATGTGCCTTCTTAGTCACCCAGTTAGTCTCAGCTTACCGCCGCTCATTTGCATTTATCTATGATGGCTTCACGGACTTTCTCCGCTGTTTTCGTCGCTCTCTGTGCTTTCCAGGACATCAATTCCGTGACGGGCAACGCCAATGACTGCGACACAGAGTGTGCCACAACTTACCCTGGGTCATATTGTAAGTATTGGAAGACGCCGAGCACCTGCTTCGGCTCGGATGCCCCGTGCTTCTGCGGCACGAGTGGACCGACTGAGGCTCTCCGAGGTTCCACATCCTCTGCTGCAGTCACGGATGAGGTCACTGAGGCCGCTACAAGCGAAGAAGGTACGACAGCAGCTCCCGAAGCAACGAGTACGACTGGTTCTGAAGCTACTGTCGATGCCACAGTAGCGGCCAGTACAGCTGCTGTGACCGATGAGGTGGCTGTCACTACTGCACCTCCTGTGACTGGCGAAGTGACCATCAGCACAGCAGCTGGGGAAGCTCCCGGTAGAGACAAGGATGACTCTGATGCTACCACCAAGGTCGCTACGGAGGCTGCAACTGTCACGACTACGATCGGTGCTCCTGTTGAGCCTACTACTATAACATCCCCTTTCCCGGTCAGCACAGCTGCTGTGACTGATGAGACTGTTGATACTACTGCAGCCCCTGTGACTGGCGAGGTTACCATCACCACGGCAGCTGGGGAAGTTCCGGGAAGAGACAAGGATGATGCTGATGCTACCACCCCGATCGCTACTGAGACTGCGACTGTGGCTACCACGATCAGTGCTTCTGTTGAGCCTACTACTATTATGACGTCCCCTCAACCGGTCAGTACGCCCGCTGTGACCGATGAGATTGTTGATACTACTGCAGCTCCTGTGACTGGCGAGGTCACCATCACCACGGCAGCTGGGGAAGCTCCCGGTAGAGACAAGGATGATTCTGATGCTACCACCCCGGTCGCTACTGAGACTGCGACTGCCACTACGATCGATGCTCCTGTTGAGCCCACTACTACTATCACGACCCCTCAACCAGCCAGCACAGCTGCTGTGACCGATGAGGTTGTTGCTACTACTGCAGCCCCTGTGACTGACGAGGTCACCATCACGACGGCAGCCGGGGAAGCTCCCAGTAGAGACAAGGATGATTCTGATGCCACCAACCCGGTCGCTACCGAGACTGCGGCTGTCACTACTACGATCGATGCTCCTGTTGAGCCTACTACTCCCACGTCCCCTCTACCGGTCAGCACAGCTGCTGTGACCGATGAGGTTGCTGTCACTACTGCGGCTCCTGTGACTGGCGAGGTGACTATCACCACGGCAGCTGGGGAAGCTCCGGGAAGAGACAAGGATGATTCTGATGCTACCACCCCGGTCGCTACTGAGACTGCGACTGCCACTACGATCGATGCTCCTGTTGAGCCTACTACTATCACGACCCCTCAACCAGCCAGCACAGCTGCTGTGACCGATGAGGTTGTTGCTACTACTGCAGCCCCTGTGACCGACGGGGTCACCATCACGACGGCAGCCGGGGAAGCTCCCAGTAGAGACAAGGATGATTCTGATGCCACCAACCCGGTCGCTACTGAGACTGCGGCTGTCACTACTACGATCGACGCTCCTGTTGAGCCTACTACTCCCACGTCCCCTCTACCGGTCAGCACAGCTGCTGTGACCGATGAGGTTGTTGCTACTACTGTGGAGACGACCGATTCCGAGGCTACTCT